AACATGAGGCGGCCTGTGTACGGCACATTCAGTTGTAGAATGCCATAAACGAGAGACTCCGTTGAGTCTCTCGTGAAAACCAAATTGATTTGCAAATGAGTGTATTTCTCGAATAAGAAAGAACACCTTTCATCATCCGACCCTGACACGGCTTCCAACGGTCAACGGAGTCGGAAGGAGAGTTGAAATCTTGGAAGTCAATTGTTAACCGTCTACAAGACTGGCGCAGTTCCAGTGCTTTCCACAAAGTGAAGATATGATCGATGCAGTTTCGATCAGGACGAAACCCAGGTTGATCTTCGTGTAGGATAACACTAGAGAACACCTTGCAAGGCATGGTTACAAAGCTGGTGCCGTGTTGCTTTATGTACGACGTTCTTGTACTCATTTTGTAAATGAGACTCACTGACGAGGGCTTCCATTCCGTCAATATTCCTTCATCACTCCAGATACCTTGGAGTAACATCGTCAGGATAGACATGAGGAACTCGCCATCTTGTTTGAAGCTTTCAGGATGCAAACCGTCTGGACCAAGTACTTTGTTGCTTTGAGGCAATAGAGTTGTACTCTGGATTCCCATTACTGATGGTAGACTGGTTCCATTCGGGTTCATTTAGCCCTTTAAGACTATGAGGTGGTGAGGGCCAGCTAGACTGTTCTTCAAAGTGTTCAGCCCATTGTCCAAGACTATCTTTCTGTGAATGAAGTGAGAATCATCTTCTTCAGGGATACTTCCAATAACACCTACTCTCCTCTGACCAGTTAGTCGGATTAGCTGGAACAGGCTCCGAACCTTTCCTGTGATTAGTGTTTACCCCATTTGCCGGCCTTTTGGGACCCAGTCATTAAGCTCTTAATTATTGGGCATTTTAGGGATTTGCTTCCACCCTTGTAGTCGTTTGTTGCTGACTTAATTTTCCTGCTTTCAATGAGAACTTCTGATCGTAACAAGATCCAGTGTCCATTAGAGTATGCGAGCTGAGTCAGCGGCTGGAGTGCGAATTTACTGACCGGAAGGTCCTTGGTTCGAAATTGACCTCTGCATCCCGACTTCTCCTGTCTAGGCTCTGGCAACCTAGCAGTATACCAACCCTAATGTTTCTTCCTGGTGGCACGGCAGCTAGGCACCGAAAGGGTGTTACAGCTGAACGATCATATTTACTACTTATTATTACGGATCATTTTACCTTTCTTCGATTGTCGTCTAAATCATCATTACAATCCTCGTCCCCTCGTGCTCTGAAGGTTTCTCAGCCAACACAAACTAGATTCTGTTGAGCTACAAAGATGCTCTGCATGTTGGCAACTAAACGGCCTTGGATCACCCAACGTACCTCAGAAACAAAAGCAAATCCACACAATGCCGCGATCGGAATCTAGTGAGGTACTCCAAACTGGGCGTCAAACTTGCTCCGAAATTCTCCAGCGGTAGCCGATTTCCAAGTGGTTTTTCAAATGGTGGGAGCGGTTGTTTCGAAATCTTGTGCCGGCTGGAAACAAATGATGTTGAGCATATGAGTGAAGATGTGATGAGGTGGATGGCTACTCCAACTCACTCGCCAAGATACGCATTCTCAGAACTTAATCAGTCGACCTGAGCACTCATATCACCCGCTGGTACCACAAAATTGGTCAATCTCGCTGTTTGGACTAACCGTGATAAATCACGACAGAAGCCATCTTCTTCAGCATCAGAGCTACCGTCCGTCGGTACCTTTGATGCCACGGTAAACAAACACTATTTGCCATACCGAGATGCACTGATTTTGACTGAATAAGTCAACTTAACGGTTCGGAGTTTACCGTTTACCGGAACCGAGTGCAGTTAGGAGAATCGAGCCCTGGAGTTATGCACAATGCACACGCTGTATATGCCACGAGCCATTTCATTAAGTTAATAATCAGACACTTGAAGATTAAACTGTGAGAAAACGACGCTAGAGAGGTTTTAGGTTTATGACCAAACTGTGGTTCTGAATGCGTGTTTCAGAGGTGCGGCGTACATCGACCGAATGAAAGGGCAAAGTCTGTGTAATATCTGACGGTTGCACAATCCGACACACAACACGGACTTTGAAATCCCTCAAGTTTAATAAGGGTTTATTTTGGATTATTTCAATGGGAAAAAGCTCATGTACAATAAAACATTCAGGTGATTGACAACTCAGTGTTTGGTGGAGTCAGTGAACAAAAAACTGTAAGAGCGAATGATACTTTCTGTTTGGTCAGGCAGAGGAGGGTACACAACCTTGAGTCTTTTACTTGAAACTGTGACGCACGTGGCATATGTAGGGCTTCGTTCAGGACCCCTCATTTAGTCCCTGACTCAAAAGTCTGCACCGCGATGCAGCAACTGTTAGGGTTTTCCTGAGGGACCCTTCTCGAAGACAGTGGCTCCACTGGCTTGCAGGGCTGGCCTGGTCTGAGGACGCAGGAAGTAAAGCCTAGGTTTCTGAGTCCTAATGCGACTGCGCATGAATGATGCATGGGCGGTCACGGTCAACCGCTGGACGATCGGAGCGTGCGGTTTTCATAACTTACCTTTTTTCTAACCCGTCCTTCCTTGGAAGAAGGCAGCATTGATACTTCCATAAATGTAGACATGCCTCAGTGCCTTTACACTCCTATCGCATAGGATAATGTTGCTTTATCTCCAGACCGCCTTAGTGTACGATTTTTAACAGTACGGGGACTCGCTGTTCTTCTTCGGACGCTCCCCATGGGTCTTTCTGGCATGGATGAAAGTGAATTCCAACAGGATCGTTGCAGCAGAGAAACACAACCACCGAAAGCTGACAGATTCACGTCTGGTTATTTTTCGTATACGGCCTCAGCGTTCGGAGTTTACAGTCGATTGTGTTGAATTAGTGCGGTTAACTATCACTGAGTTGGAGTAACGAAATCTGCGACGATTGGACCTCCTCGGACGGACCAAGGACAGCTCTTGCCCTCAATGCGCAGTTACCTACCCCACCTCTCCGAATCATCGGTGAACAAAACTGTGGAACCTACAACCACTGTATGACAATTACGCGGTTACTACAGCTGATAATGACTGCTGAACGAATCCGAAGGCGAGGCACACTCCGTCTAAGAGACATGATTTTCGTGAACTATACTGCCCCATCTCAGCACCATGTATCCAAATAAAGAAACCTCGCAGCATGTCCTTTCTACGTTCGTGGTGAAAAGGAAAAATAACGATACGCGAAATGGATACGCGAAGGGCGCGCCATAGACCCGATCACTAAAGCCTGCAGCTGTAATTAACGGGAGTCAAGGATTGGTCTTTTTAACAAGGGTTGACGGTGACAGACCTCCTGTGATAAGAAAGTTTTCCTTGTTTGGATAAACAGGTGGCCATCTGGCTACCCTGTTGTTATAAGGGATAACACAATTGAAGCAGAGTGTTTCTGGGGTTCAATGATTGTGCGTTTTAATCCGTTGAACAGAATTACTTTTCCGTAATACATCATCATCTAAACGCATACCAGTGGGAGGGAGACTGTCCGATATCGACATGACTACGAAGTCCAAAAGCTTACAAAAGATTATCTAGGGAAAGGTACAATTATTACAAACCTTTGCACAGGTTAAAGAGGTTTCCGTTCATAAAGAAAACTACTCACAAGGTTACTGAAAACCCTTCGACAGTCCACGACCGGTTTCGCTCTTCTTGGGGCTCATCAGCTTGGCGAAGCCCCTGAGTTTCCGTCAACCTTATGCTCTACTTGAACCCAGTTGTGTACTGGACCAGGACGCAGGTGGGGGGGGGAGGTGAAGACCAATCCGATAATTTGTCTTTCTCGAGTCGGATACAGAATCGCAAATTGACTGAAGTCCTTCGGTTTAAGATAGACTGAATTGACGAGCCCCGTTTACCCTTCATTCATTCCTGGGAAAGTCGGGGTTCTAGTTCTTTGGCTGGGTTCAGCCTTATCGGACCGTATTAACGTATGAAGTCCAGCTACAAAGTATTTCAGTGTTTTTTAGTCGTGCTCATATTTTCTAACATCAGCACTTGGCTGACTCGGCGAGCAAGTTTATCCAGATTGGTTCAGTTTTCATACAACTATGCTGTACATGCGCAAGTTGACTCTCGTTGGCATAATAACTGCATTTGCGTCCTGTGAGTGAAGCCAATCTATGCTGAGTAGCCAAGGAACACTGTACAGCTGTTTCATCCTTATTATGAATCATCAGCGGTGCACATCTCACGAAAATCCGAAGAGTCTCGAGCCCGCGACCTCCTGGCTGGTAGTTTGAACACATAACCGTTCGGCCACGAGCGGCTGATCCGCAGTGTGATTAAATTGCACTTGGACAAGATATAGCGCCGCTCATCCTTCAATCACGAGATCCACATCACGTGATCACACGTGTTGACTGGCTCCTCGGGCAACGAAATCTCGGATGGAAGCTTCACTCATCGGGTGGAGTTTATTCTTCCACCGAGCTACTGGTAGATTGTTGGTAGTGTGAGGAGATTCGGGTTTTTGTGTGTGGAAATTTCGTCCTGTAAGTGAAGCCAATCTATGCTGAAAGGCCGAGAAGCACTGTACAGTGGTTTCATCCTTATTGGTATCATCAGCAGTGCGCATTTCACGAAACTCCGAAGAGTCTCGAACCCGTGACCTCCTGGCTAGTAGTTTGAACTCTTAACCGTTCGGCCACGAACTAAATGAATAATGATGGAGTAGAAAGTGGGAAGCAGTATCAACAGTAAGTCGAGCAAAACAAGTGAACAGATAGTAGGTTATGGGTATACACCCAATGCAATATCTAAATGTGTCATAAGACGTCGGAGAAGAGTCATGGCCATTCCCCCGAAATCCAGAGAGCAGAGCAATATTCCGCCAAACTCCCCATTTTAGAGAAGTCAACCGATTTGTAAGCTTCTATTTTTGCCACAACTAAAGAGCAAGATTGTTATGAAACACCAAAAATTCAAAAAACTTCATTTTCAAACATAATGTTTGGTGACAAAACGACCCGACAACTCATTCGAGACATGTGGTCTGGACGAGCATACGAGTCACGCTGTATGGATCACAGTTAGCCGACGGCCGACGATCTTCCAAATACCCATAACCATCGTCAGCAACCTGGCGGGGGATGCGGATACTGCTTCCACGATTTGCGACGCCTGTTGCAAAGCCAGTGGTAGAGGAGAAAGAAAGTTATATTCCAGCAAACTCGAAGCTGGATGAACTCCCATCCAGCATATCACTTGCCCTGAATTGACATTTTTAAGTAAAATAATACGATGATGGTAATGATGATTATTATGGTGATGATGATGTTGATGATGATCTAGATAGAAGATCTACTATTCACCGAAGTGTTCTTATCTCGTTCTCCTATAATTTAGGGAAATAAAATTTACAGCACTGTACATCGATGAAAAAATTAGCTACAGTCGTCAATCTCGAAATTCACAGGTATTAATATGGATTTGATATCAAATTGAGGACAAATCATATATTATCCAGATATAGATTTAGAGATTATTGAGCAGAACGCAGCTAGTCATGAGATTACGCTCAAAAGGTCATGGCCACACTGGGTGATGAAGACGACTAACCAGTCGCACTTACTTATTGATCATCTCGCCTGCTGGACACTACTTAGCTCCTAACTTAATACAGGTACGTCACCGACCTCCTGGTCCGGATGACCCCCAGCCCCATTGCTCATAGATGGCAGTGAAGTCCTCAGTCAACGCTTGTCTGATCTGTTTGCCCTTATTCGGGAAAAGGAGTCAAGCCCAGACAACTGGGGAGAGTCAGTGATAGGGCCCTTTTTTAAAAAGGGCAGGTTGACCCCGGTCGCTACAAAGCTGTTGGCGTCCCTGGTGCTTCGTCGCCTTATGATGGCTCGTGAAACACTGAGCAACAAGTAGGACTCCGACCTGGTAGAGGTTGCATTGACCGTCAGTTGCTGGGACAACCCCACACGTACAAGCGACCCACAAGTTTCATATTTCTGAATTCGCTACCCAGTCAGAGAAGTAGCGTTCGGTATTGGGTTGCCATTTGTCGCCCTTATCTTTGAAGACCAAAGCGAAGCACTAGCCTTGTTGAATAAACTAACCACCATCATACCATCTTTTGGCATGCGCCTTGTACCTTCAGAGTGCAAAGTCATGCGTGCCATCTGCGAACATATCCCTTACAATTCAAGCGAAAAACCGAACGCAGAGTCAAAGTGGTGTGATTCTTACCTGAAGAAAACCCGGAAATGCTACTCGTCTCATGCAGACCAGTTAGCCGTCGCGAGTTGTCCAAGCCTTGATGAGGGTCGTACGCGGCGATGTGTTCCGCGTGTTTCAGTGATAACTTTGCCACGGCCTCTTCAATGAATCTGAACATTAAGGAAGCGTTAAAGTCAACAACAAAAATATTCACCGAGAAAATCGCTTCAGTACGAGTAATAATATGACACCCAATCAAGGAAAAAGAAACTGAGGAGGTCCACTGAGATACACATGGTTGTGATCAAGATAATGAACCCAGTATTCTCAGATCGGATGGTGGATTCTGTTCCTTATCGATTTCTGTGTGGGTACTTCCTTGAAAATGTTTGGGGAAATTCAAGCTGTCATCTCCAAAACAATAGAACCCAAGTCCTTTCATGAGAACGAATCATTCTTCAAATATGACATTTGGAGCCTTGAACACTGGGTAACTCTTCTGAGGTACCAGCTACCCTGTTCGCAGAAGTGTGACAGTAACTGTGGAAAAAAGTACCACTCTTCCTCACCCTCATCATTTATGTAGTCCTCTTGGTTTGGTGCAAGTTTGTAAGAGCAAAACGTTGAAGAAGGTTCAAGGGACTCAGTCTTTCTCTTCCGGTTTTTGCTCAGTGAGCTACCTTTTTTATGCTGCATCGTGTGAAAGAGAATAAAGTCAAAACTAGTAACATTTCGGTGGGATTGTTCGAATTCCTAAATCGTTCTATCAATTCTGTACGTAATCTCAGTGATATTCCTTTTGCTTGTCATCAGTTGGATTAAATTTTTGGCTTCCAAGTGCGATGGTATACGGTTCCAGCGTCTCGGTTCAATTCAACTATAGGCACGTCAAAATGAAGGTATCAGCTGGCTGGATGGATGATGATGTAGGTTGGTTTTGGGCCGGGTTGGTGGATGTTTTATCACCTATTCTTGCTTGCTGATGCAAGCGGGAACATTACTGTTGGGTAATGAAACCGAAACGAATAGGCCTCCGGCTGAACTAAGGCTCAGAGGTAGTCTCAATGGGAGCTGTTACAATTTTATTTGCCTGATTAGTTTCATGAATCGTGAGGAGAATGATGATGGTACAGCTCCACGGTATTACTTTGGGAATACGGTAAAGATCCATGAAGTCAGCGGTCACAGCGACTCCGCTGAAGGTACACAGGGGAGGTATTAGTTTGCAAACTGTCACGTGTATGACCACAAGGTCACGTGTTAGCTTGTTGACTTTTTTGGATCGATTTGCAAATGTTTATTAGCACACTGTTTAAAGAACTTCTGCGTTCTCTATTTTCGTAGGTTCTGAAAAAAGTTCCCCATTAATGTTGACTTTTTTCACCCCAATACATCTCAATCAGACAGTCTAATCCTCAGGTGACCATGTTGTGACTGAAAATCTCAGTGTGTGTTCATTCGTTGAGTATCGGAATTTACTTTTTTATTTGTTTTGAGTGATAATTCTTTGAAGGTATCGATCAACTTCGAGTGGTGTTTAAAAGATGTATAAGTATTTAAATCTGATGAGCGTTTTGGTGAGTTCGTAAGAACCAATTTCCATATTTATTAAACAAACAAAATTTCGGATTCTTTACTCGCGCTAATAATGAGCAACCTGAGAGTGCAACAGTGATACTACTAATGGGAGGGCATGCGAGTAGTATGTTTTCTCGTAAGTCTGCTCCGCGTCTCTTGAAAAGTGAGATCTATTACAGAACTTGTGGAGTCGCTTTGCAGCTTTTGCTTGCATTTGAGTAACAGTCAATGAATATCCAGGAAAGTTCAGGAAGACGTTCAGAGAGAGTTCAAGGAGAAGATGGATATTCAGTTTTTGTAAGCAAGATGCATATGAGAGTTTTGCTTCCCTGTCGAATAGTCTGTAACTGTTCAGTTGGCATTTTCTAGTAGATGACTCCGCAGTAAAACCCTTCTTCCTTTCAATAGTAGTGTAGTTTCATGAATTCGATCCACGAAAATCCACGTAAATATGAAAAAATTGGTTTATTCTCCTCGAGTCTACCTAGAACTATGCTTGAGATTGCCCTATGCAGTGTTAGATATTGTGAAAGTTCACATGCAGTGTTTAGTATCCGAAGTTCATAGTTTCCAAACAACTGTATTTGAGCATGGGCTACTTAGAACTCTTTTTAGAGGGTAACATGCCTTTGCAGCTGAGAACAAGGCGCATTTCCAAGTTCCGATGACTGCTTTGAACGTTTTGTTGAAATTCATAGGGACGCAGTGCCTCAGATGACTGCAGTGTGGGCATTATTTGCGAGATTTGTTGTTTAGAAGTGGCTCACTGACAGAGGTCCACTCAAAGAAGAGTATATAGTGCTGCGAAACAGCCCTGATATCGATTGTCAAGACCCTGGGAACTTCAAAGAAGTTAACCTAAGCATTCTCTGTGATAGAATTACTTTAGATGTACAGAATCTCATTTCCTTGAGAAATCTTGCTGCTCAGTCCTCTTCCGAAGATTCTACCTTTCAAGACTCGTAGAAAAACTCTACTCACTTTAATCCATTCGGTGGGGAGCGCATTTCCACGGTGGAATAATTCGTGTGTGCTCCGGAACCATTCCAGTCTCCAGACACCGGCTTGGGATCAAAGCTGACAACGACACCAAAGTCTTCAGCTATTCTGTGCAGAATGAATCGTGCCACCCATAAGTGGTCCGCCGCAGCTATACCTTCACATGGTCCTATCTGAAATTCCCACTGTAGCGGATGGATGATATTGCTGTGAGTAACGCGCAACACCAGGAGGGGCAAAGTTTTCATTATGCGGGATAATAGTGCACGCAAAAAATGAAACCTAGTTCCAAAAATCTCAGTGCGAAACACAAGTACAAAAATTGAAAGTGCCGCAGGTTGCTAAACGTCACTGAAGCATCCTTGGGAAAATGGTGCATTTCATTATTTAACTGAACAAAGGGCAAACTATTTTCATAGAGGAAACTACACAAAGGTTGCTGGAAAACTCTTCGGCAGCTCACGACCGGTTTCGCCCTTCCAGTTCGGGTTCATCAGGTAGGCGCAGTCTCCGAGTTTCCGTCAACCTTATGTTCTACTTGAGTCCAAATTAAACTGACTGCGACAAATACACTCATTTGCAAATCAATTTGGTTTTCACGAGGGAATTAACTGTCGAAGAGTCTTCAGCAACCTTGTGAGTAGTTTCCTTTATGAAAATATACTGCGATATCTCGAATATCGTGCCAACTGAATCATGAGGCTGCATGTGTGCAGCACATTCAGTCGTAGAATATCACATACGAGAGGTTAAGTTAAGTTTCTCGTGAGAACCAAATTGATTTGCAAATGAGTGTATTTCTCGAAAAGGGCAAACTACTTTGGTAGCCTGGAGTGTCCAATTAACCAAGGCTTGTATAATTTGAGGGGTGGCATATTCGGTTAAAAGATTACTACAGCGATAGCCCACGACCGGTTTCACTTTTCCGGAAGTTCATCAGGTAGACGCATCCTCCGGGGTTCTGTCAATCTTATGTTCTACTTGAATCCAATGGGCGAAGCACATTCATTTGCACAAAGATGCGGTTTTTCACAGAGGACTTAACAGAATCCCAGCCGATTCTCTCGTCAGTGATAGTCAGCAACTGACTGCGTTGCACAAAGGTCAGTTGTACGCTATTCGAGAGAACGAATCATATTGAGGAATACCATAAAGAGATATTCAGTTGAGTCTCCGTTAACGACAAACCAATCCGCGAATAGTTCTATTATGTTAGTGTCAGATAGTTGGGCATTCATGTGGTTTCCGCCTTAAGGTCGACGGAATCTCGGGGACTGTGTCAGCATGCTGAGGGGCGAAACCGGTCATGAACTGTCGTGGAGTTTTCACCAAACACGAGAGTTGGGTTTCTTCAAGAAATCATACTGCGATGTCTGGAAGATCGTACCAGCTGCAACATGGAGCTGTCTTGGTGCAGCACATTCAGTTAAAGAATATAATAGACGGGAGATTCAGCTGAGTCTCCCCTCAACACTAAGTTTCGTTGCAAGGGGTTTTATTTCACCGAACGAAAGATTTCATTCTGAAGGAAAGAAAGTATTCAGTGGTCACCGATTGGCTGAAAAATTGATCATCAGGTTTTCTGAAACGTGTCCCCTCATATGTTCATTTCTGGACAGATCAGAGGCAAATCTGTTTACTGAGCATTCCGAATTCCAGCCTCCACAAACAGGCCAACAACGAAGGAATACACCCTAGTACCTATATTTCTCAACATTACCAGATCAGAAGATAACCTGCATCTGAAAAATTAGTGCACTCCAGTTGCCCCAATGGACAACCGTTACTGCCCATTAGGGATAGCAGGAAGTGTTCTAAACACATCCAAGTGTAGACACAACCTCGGCGCACTTGGTTCGATTCACATTGAAGCAACTGGCTTGCAACCAATAGCACGTCACATGGATACTCTGTTGAAACCGCCTAGAAGAATTTGTTGAGTGACGGGTCCTGTGGCATCGTTGACAAAGGTGTTTGAAGCGTGAGAAATTCGTGGATTGGGCAAGATGATGACAGGACGAATCCATTAGGCACTCGTGGTTGAACATTTGCCTCCCCCCAAGTGTGTACACGTTATTCGAGATGAGTAAACTATTCATGTGTGAGCGGCATAATGGGTTTGTGCATGTGGGTCCCAAGGGGCCTGATGCCTTTTCAAGTGACTCAACTCAATCAACTGGTGCAGATGAGTCACTTAGGTTGGTGTTGTTTCTTCGACTGACACGGGGGCGGTGCACCCTCTGATTATAGCAGTTGTTTACGCTGATGAGAAGAATAGTAATAGACACAGACGTTTGCACTCCTGGTTGAACTTTTGCGCCCCCCCCCCACCCCATGTCTGTACACGCTGTTCGTGGTGGATAAACTATTCATGTGCGAGTGGCATAATGGGTTCGTGAACGTGGGACCCAGAAAGCCTGTGGAGAACTGACGCATTTTCAAGTGAGTCAACTGAATCAACTAGTACAGATGGGTCTCTTAAGAATAGGTTGGCGGTATTTCTTTGAATGACACAGTGACCGACCAAGCTATCAGAATTGGAAAGTGATCGACCATGAAAGATGTGCTCTAAGAAGGAAGTCAAATAGCAGTGGCGGTGCACCCCTTTTCATTGTGGTTGTCTGTTGATGAGAAGGATAGTGATGACAATAACAATAGTAATAAAGAGTATGCAGACGACATCGTTCCCATCTTTGAAGAGGAGGAAAAGGCGCAAGTATTCTTGGATGAACTGACCAAAATCATCCCATCCTTTGATATGCAACTTTGCGTAGTGTGACAGATAGGGTGAATGCATGAATCTGCAAGGCTCGGGTGGCGTTTGCTAATTTAAGACACCTATGGTGTCAGAGTGGTTTATCCCTGAATCTGAAGGGGCGTGTGTATCAAGCGAGGGCGAGAGTTGTTTTGATTTCGAGCAGCGGAACTGAGACGTCTTCAGGTGGTCGACAGTCGCTGTCTCAGAACCATAGCTCGTGTGGGTTGGTGTCGGTGAATCCGTAACGAGGCAGTTAGAAAGCGTATTTTCGGTTATGCAACGGGCACTTCCATTGAAGAATGTGTCCAGCACCAGAAGCTGCGTTGGTTGGGACATGTGTTACGTATGCCGAACCATCGTTTGCCGAAGAGAGTGCTGTTTCCCAGGTCCAATTCAGAGTGGCGTGAACAGAGAGGTGATCAACTCTTGACTTGGCAGAGGAGTATGAAGGAGATCACGAAACGCTTGGGTGCTGTTGGTGCTACTCGCCTTCCAGGATGGGGACCACGTGATCCTCACTGCGCCTGGTCGGGGACGCTGCAAGGTATGGCTGCCAACCGGTGTCAGTGGCGTTCTTGATGTCAGTTTCTATCCAGATCTCCTGAGTGAATGTCTGGAGTTGTAGGCACCACTGAATGATTGTGATAAGCTAACACTAAGTCCCTTCCCTGTCCACCTTTATTCTTTCCTTTATAATAAGGCTTTCAAATAAATCATGGTTGTACGGTAGTGAAGCACCGGTTTTGAACACTGATGTCATGCTGTCAATGATGATGACACTGAGAAAGGAAGCAATACGTTAGTCACTCTGGAACGAACACAACACGAATCAAGTAGCTCGTCTTCGGAGGGAGTTCACGCTGAGTTCTTCCTGACAAGGAGTGTTTTTCTGCGTCTCTTCAAACGTTTTTCATTGTGTGAATTTGCTCTACCAGCTGTGGTTTACTTATTGTGTACCACACAGATATCTGTCTATCTGTTATCCATCTTTAATTACATGGCCAGACGAAGTAGTCGCCCTAACTTGAGAAATTTGCAGCCTTTTACTAAAGTTTGGTAAACCTTAGAGATCGACTGACGTCTCCGTGTACAACCAATGGTTCGCTTGTCGCAGTAGCCATACCGTTGGGGTGTATACTTTCTTCAGTTCGCTTACTTTTTCTCAACAGTATATCTTTGGGCTTTCTAGAAATATAGGCATCTCGAATAAGCAAGCACTCCTATCAACACATCTTGAATACGAAGTAACTAATGACAGTTTCATTCCATCAACACACATGCATGACCCTAAGCATGCGTCCTGAATACAAGGGTGGGTTATAATTCTTGGGTGATGCCTGGACGAATACAGTCGGTATTCTTCAAGGAATAATGGAAACAAATGGATTAACCACTTAGCATAGTGACAAGGAGTACCGAATAGTGTTTTGTGTTATAAAACAATGGAGACGCAGGTGATAAAACTCCTCACAGAATGATCCGCTCGAACCATTTTTGACACCTATCATGATTTTGTGGAATAATGGTGAATGCTTACGAAAAGTTGGCTAGTCAATACACAAGTGGCCAGCTAAGAGTTGTGAAGGTGAGATGATCCGGCTAGAAACAGAACAGGGGCGAGATGGATCAAGTGGTTAGAGGGCGAGTTTACTGACCGGATGTTTCGTGGTTCGAACCTAACCTCTGCCTCTCGACTTACCCTGTCTATGCTTGGGCGACCTGGCAGTATTCCAGCCCTCGTGCTTCCTTCGAGTGGCATGGCAGCTAGGCACCGAAAGGGCGCTACAGCTGAACGAATACAGAACAATGAGTGACTGGTCCGCTCCGACCATGGCTATTCAAGGAGTCAGAAACTTCGATCGGTGAAAGGTATATGCTTGGCACGAGTAGGCAAACACAACGAATCTGTCATCTTATACGTCTTGCGAATGAAAACGCCTCCAAATAGTTCGTAGTACGTCGATGGGCGTCGGAAGATGAACAGTGTTTTTTGGGAACTTGGTCGTCGCACAAAACAGTGCTTGTCATTGGTCAAATAAACTAATTAGCAAACGAACTTGGTGTTAACGAATGACTCAGCTCAGTTCTAGCTAAACATCTCGTTAGTGATATCCTATAACAGAATTTGTTGCACAAAGTTAGCCTCAGCTGATCTACTGTGCGAGATTTCACAGTATATTTTCTAGAAGGAGAGCAAACCTGTTCAGAGCAGGCACTTGTTGCGCAATCGCTGCCTTGGAAATTTCTCAATCAAATGACGTGGAATCGTCATTTGCTGTTTACTCTATCTCTCACCTGAGATGGCATAACTTCCGCATTCGTTCCTGCAATCTTCACACCGGCGTACATACACGCCCGATAGTGTGCTTCGGGTATATCACGACCATAGGCCTTGCCGGTTCCAACTGAACAGTAATACGGACCTTGAACGTGAGAAGAAAAGGTAAAATATTATAGGTATTATTCCACAACCCAGGGAGGATTTCTCACGATCAAGTTAAAAGGCGTAAACTTGTCATCAAACTGCTATCAACTGAGCTGGGTTCACTGATGGAAGTGATGATCGATTCAGAATCTAATGAGTAACAATTTCTAATCTTGGGGTTTTGCGGGATAGGTATGTTTGTTCATAGCCACACCACTCTCGTTTGAACGGCCGTGTTCCTGTTCTGGCGTAATTATTCCGGTGAGTCCACACCAAAGGGAAGCACTGGACTCGAGTTTCGCTCTTATTAGAGCGAAACCCCAAAATTGCAACCAAAAATCTGCCCAGTGGTTTTCAAGCGTGTGCCACGCTACCTAACTGGGAAGTCCTGAATGGCGGGTCAGTCGATCGTCACAACCAGAACAGTTACTGGGTCGTCGTTCGATGAGTCGGGCACACCAATCACATCGCTCAAGTGTGAACACGTTCGCTTGTTCAGACGTGATAATTCAGATGCGTCCAAGGGGCGTTGGTGGAGTAGTGGTTACTCGCTCGCCTCGCATGTCAGATGTCCGCGGTTCGAATCCCGGCACGGCCATTGGATATGCACTGCTGATGAGCTCTAATGAGAGCGAAACTCGAGTCCAGTGCTTCCCTTTGGTGTGGACTCACCGGAATAATTACGCCAGAACAGGAACACGGCCGTTCAAACGAGAGTGGTGTGGCTATGAACAAACATACCTATCCCGCAAAACCCCAAGATTAGAAATTGTTACTCATTAGATTCTGAATCGATCATCACTTCCATCAGTGAACCCAGCTCAGTTGATAGCAGTTTGATGACAAGTTTACGCCTTTTAACTTGATCGTGAGAAATCCTCCCTGGGTTGTGGAATAATACCTATAATATTTTACCTTTTCTTCTCACGTTCAAGGTCCGTATTACTGTTCAGTTGGAACCGGCAAGGCCTATGGTCGTGATATACCCGAAGCACACTATCGGGCGTGTATGTACGCCGGTGTGAAGATTGCAGGAACGAATGCGGAAGTTATGCCATCTCAGGTGAGAGATAGAGTAAACAGCAAATGACGATTCCACGTCATTTGATTGAGAAATTTCCAAGGCAGCGATTGCGCAACAAGTGCCTGCTCTGAACAGGTTTGCTCTCCTTCTAGAAAATATACTGTGAAATCTCGCACAGTAGATCAGCTGAGGCTAAGTGACCTGTGTAGACTTGAAGACACCGCCTTGCTGGTGGTCACTGTTTCGTGCACGAGGAGACAAATCATACCTCATCTTACCTTGTGGAGGGGGAAACCCCGACTTTGGCCAATTTAAAGGAAGGCCGTCGACTTCCATGAGGGTGTACTCTTGCTCAATTCCAAACCAGGGTTTGTGTTCTTTCACTTGTTCCATGGCCTTTGCGCACTCATATCGTTTGTTCGTTTCTGATAACAAGCAAATCAGAAAGATCAGTACACAGTAGGAGGAACAGGTTTAGCTTTCAAATCGAAAAAAAGACATGAAACCCTTTCGTGGCACACAGTTGCTCTGGTGGATTGAATCAACTAGACCTCCATTTGACAGTTGAGTTCTAAACAAACCGCGTTATTTTGATGATATTATGTTAAATATCTACAATCAGAATGATTGTACCGAACTTAGACAACGCTAGTTGGGATGTGACTACATCTGTGTTTGTTCTAGACAAAGAACTCTAGCAAGCCCACTAAAATGAAACGGCTGAACAAGTGAGAGGTAAACACATTGTGACCAGGCAACTGTGTGACCAACCGCAGTGACTTTGGGATGAGCAAGTAGGGAATGGAAAAATCCCCCAGGCTGCTCAGCTTCCCCTTTTGGTGCGCTGGAAGTATGGGAACTTGGCTCCATATCTTATTTTTAGTATTCACTTGCATTCACCTACTTTTCGTAAGACAATTGAGGCTTGCCTTGGGATACTTTACTTCAAACTGGCACAAGAAAGCGCCCTTGTATGGGGCCTAGTTATACACTTCACCCAAATTCGCTACCAGAACTTCAAAAAGTGGCTTTATTTGAGTTTTTGTTGGTCAGTTTTGTCAATGGCTGTCACGTGAATGGACTCTGAAGTCATGTGAGAAGGAGGTTTGTCAGTATTCAGTGTTTCAAGCTGTGTTGGTGGTTGTAGTTTGATTTTACGGATTCAGAGCTATCTCCACCTGACGACAGGTGGGTAAGGCGTCAGCTTACCAACCATTGCCTCCCAGCTGTCAGGGACGAGTAGATAGTGGCGTCTTGTTTCAAGAAGTATACTTGCATTGAGTGTGGTTTGACCCGCGTGAAGGCGGGACATGAGTGCTCCAAGCGGGACTCCAGCCGGGGAGGGGCTCTCTAGACCATATCTTTAACGAGGTGCGTATAGGAGGCCTACAATCTCAGTGCTGAATTTAATTCAACCTCATAGTAATTCCCCCATTCATTTGATCTCATGCGTATCACGCTAGAGTAGGCGCTCTATTGCTATATGGCTGTCAGGTGTGGCCAATTCAGGCAGAAGATTTGAGGCATCCCTAGATCTTTGCCCATCAACCTCTGGGAATTATGGTTGGGATCGGCTGAAAGCAGCAAATTCGGAATAAGGTATGCGGTAAAACAGACAGTACTCCACACAAAGAATGCGTTCAGCACTACAATCTAAGTTGGTTGGGCCGTTTGCCACGGACGCCAAGTTACCTCCTGCTGAGACTGGCATTGTTTTCCATGCTGGCAATCTAGACATGGGTATTCTGGGATGAAATAGATGGTGTCACGATTGGTTGAGATCCTATTGGTACTGTTCGTCTTCCATGGTGGGGTACTTTTGCTTGGCTGGAGTCACTGGACGATGTGCCGGCTAACCGACATCAGTGGCATCCATGCAGTCAGTGTCTATCCAGATTGTTGGGCTGAGTTCCAAGGCTGTAGGCTCCTCGAATGTTTGTTGTGCGCTAGTCCTAGGTTCCCCTTTCTACCTCATTTCTTTCTCTGTGCTCAATGTCTCTATTCAAACAAACTGACTTGTTTTTAAGGCAGGGAAACATCAGTGTTCTCATCTAGTGTTGCTCACAATGAGGATGGCTAGTAAAAGGGGATGAGCGCATGCAGATTGCCCCTATCTGATGAGTCCAAAGAGGACAAAACAATTAGTGGACTGTCGAATAGTTTCAAAAACACTGAACTGTGGTTTATTTAGTGAAATGCTTTGGCATTTTGAATATCGCTCCAAATGAAATACAAGGCAGCCTCACTGCAGGGTATTTAGTCGAACATCAGTGGCCGATTAATCCATTGTTAATACCAAGTTGGTGTGTAAATTAGTGCGCAGCTCTAGTAATTTATTCTTCCATCCATTTAGGCGTTTGTAGACGATCAGGGAAAAAATTTTCACAATAGACTGTTTGGAAACTGATGCAACCAATGTAAAGAGTGTGTTTGGCATGCGATCAGTTGGTGACCGCTATCCACAGGAAAAACAAAAACCGCTTCAGTTGACTTTCACTAGATGCTGATGTGACCAAAATCAAAATCTAATTTCATCATTCGTTTGCGGAATTTATAAACACGAATAGCAACCGATTTTAGTAATGATAAAACAAATGTAAAGATTTATTCCTTGAGATGATATCTGTCGTAAAGTTGACGTAACCCCATTGACAACGCATTATCATTTTCACCCGGTTTGAAGTCATCTGATAGACCACGTGCCCACCAGTCTCGTTGTACGCATCATGTTGACTGTATTTGCGGAAAAACACTTTCCAACGAAGAGGATTTTAACGAGAAACAGTCATCCTTGGACCGTGCTTCTAGAGGTGCTTAATTGATGATAGTCTCAACAGCCAGGAGGAGCATAGTTTGTAAATGGTGCCCATTATCCGCACAATGCTCTCAGCTGGAAAATCTTTACAAGGGGAGTAAAACTTTTTACTCCAAAATGTCGTATTTTGTTGCATATGTGCTCAAACCAAAAACCATCCTAATCTGCGTTCATATTTTTGCAGCTCACCAAATTTCATTGTTCACTGAGACAACCACGCCTCTGGCTGAAAAGTCCTGTGGGATAATTTCCCATCATCGCTGAGCCCCTAAATGGGGATCAGAAGTTTGGACTGGTACTCTCGACTCAATTGCCCGATTGCTTAAGTCCATCAGGGACACATCATAGCTTTCAAAAATTCAATTCCATTGTGCGAATACTGAGCTCCTTTGTAATGGGTCTCAGCGTTTGAATGACCGTTTTGCGCCGCATGTCACGGACAACTTCACTTGAACTAGTTCTCAACAGATGTGGGATCACCTTCAAGACAGCTCTTGCAGCACAACTGGTCATAAACACTATCAGTCAGATTAGAGTGAACGTCTTGGGTTGCAGAACATTGCCCCGAGGTCGTTCGTTCTTTCGTTCAGCTGTAGCACCCTTTCGGTGCCTAGCTGCCATGCGAAACGAAGGTTGCACGAGAGCTGGGATACTGCCAGCTCGCCAAAGCTTAGGCAAGGGAAGTCGATATACAGAGCTCGGGTTCGAACCACGGACCTTCCGGTCAGTAAATTCGCGCTCTAACCGCTTGGGCCATCTCGCCCCTGCCTTGAGGTAGATCATCTGGTTGACCATTCTCGTGCTTCTACCAAACTGTTACGCAATCAAAACCGCCGACATTCTGTGAATCGGTGTTGACCAAACAAGGCAATTTCTGTGCACAGAAACTACTGATCCAATCTGGAGCTGAATAAATACCACCTCGCAATTACCAGGTCTATCATCCATCAATGTTGAATACCTTACTAATAGAGGCAATTTGAAATATTAGCACCTTGCGATTTATGTCTTCTGGTTGTTCTCACGAACAGGATACAAGACCATATATCTATAAAAAGCTCTACTGTATCTATTTTTCTTGCCATTCTTCACCCGAATGTGCTATACCGACAGATGCTTCCGTTCAAGATATCGAAGTAATGGCTTGTTGCGGTTTTTTGTCAGAATAAAAGCTTTTGCGTAGGATAGTAATCAACCAGATGCCAAGAAACTTCCTCTACCTGACTGGGAAACTGGTGAAACTTAGCCCCTGTGTTAGGTC